AATGCAGTCATTTTGACTGCTTTTGGGCAATATAGGTATATACTGAGTTTCAGTCTTTCTAGTGTTAAAAAAGGCAATCCAGTATTATCAGACTGCAGGCCTGTGCCCAAAGGAAACTGCACCTCCACTTATACACACTAATGTATAACCACCTTGTATATGAGTTCTGGCGCTTCGCATCAGTGATGGACATTCGTGGGATTCCTTTCTGCGCATGCGTAAGCTGACGTCACAGCTACCTGTTGTCCGCTACCATAGATGTACTTTAGCGCAAAAAGAGGTGCATGTTTTGTACAAAATTGAACTTTCTACTTCAAATGCTCGCCAATCACACAAAAATTAACTTATCGAAGATCCCCTACATATTTCTCTAGCTATACTCATGTAGATTAAGAGAAAATTTTATGTTTTTGTTTCTTTCCCTGTAATTTCCTTAAATTTTGTTCCTTACTGGGATCCAACGGTACCCTAAATTCTAGTTCAGTGTATATGGCAGTGATCGTGCGCTCCAGTGCGCATGACCAAAATTTCCACGAATGTACATCACTGTTTCGTATAGTTTCGGGGATTCGAGAAAAGAGACGAATGTGAGTCTGTTCTTCTTGTTCTCAACACAGCTGAAATTCAACCTCGCATCACCGGCATGCGATTTCGAACTTTGACTGCCTAGACATTTTTACTTTCCAACCTATATACGTATAAAGTGACATAATAAAAAAAATTTCAAAAATTATTTTACGGAAATACACGTTTTAAGACCCCCTGATCATATTTTAACTATTCAAAAAAAGACATTTTTGGACGTGCGTTCATATATTTATATTATTATTACGATTGAGTCTAAACAACCGAATGAATTTCAATATTATTTTAAATTTTTAAATCTGAAAAAATTTGGGAATGTATCATGTTTTTCGCGCTCAACTCGTGAGGAACCCATACATCGAGCTTTTTTTTGTAGTTAGCTTTGTGTAAATGGTTCAAAACAGTTTTGTGGACAATGCCTAGCTCCAGACCAATATCGACACTGCTGATATGTTTATCTTGCTGGACTTTTTCAAGAATTTCATCAGCTTTTTGAGTGATTGGACGACCAGAGCGTGACTCATCTTTCACATCGAAATTCCCAGAACGAAAGCGAGCGAACCATTTCCGCGCAGCGGATTTTGATAAAGTACCTTCACCTTACACAGCACAAATTTTTTCACAAGCCTGCGCAGCGTTCTTCCCTTTGTCGTAATAAAATTGCAAAATATAGCGCAATTTTTCATTATTTTTCTCCATCTTCAAACGCAAACAACTTTCTAATCACTGCACCAATTTCGATGTTTATAACCTCAAATTAACGCTTGAAGTGTCACCTTTCTAATGAACTTTTAGTGGTGTCGCTGCGATCTATGTTTCCTGAGTTAGTTGCAATTGACGTCGCCTATCTGGAAGAACGCCACGAACTTTTTCAAAGACCCAATATTATTCTCCGCCCTCTCAAATCCACGGTGATGCCGTAGTGCGTCAACAAATCAGCACCTACGATCGGGTATGGCACGTCTGCCACGCAAAAGTTCCACGTGATCGGTCGTCGTAGACCGATTTCAATGGTGCGCGTCGACTCGCCATACGTGTCGACACGCGTATTGTTCGCGGCATAGAGCCGCAGACCGCTGGCCACGGGTTTGCAATTTCTGGCTACAGGCAAAAGGGATATGTCTGAACCCGTATCTATTAGGAATATTTGTCCCGAAATTTTGTCCTGGACGTGGAGACGTTTTGAGTTTAATATTGCATTACTACCCTCACACCCTGTCCCCGCGGGGGAAGGTATTTCTAGTTTTCCGTCCGCGGTGACGGTTTCGGCCACGTACAATTTTCGGGGTCCTTGCACGCGTATGCTTTGGCCCCGAATTTGCTATGGGCCCAGCACACCGCGGGAGTTAGCGTCGGAGCCGCTCGATTTCGCTCGCCCGAACGACCGGCAAACCCGCGTTGCCGTGATTTTGACCGCGACCGCGACATCGATTTCTCGAGGCGCTCGAAGCTGGCCGACATCTTTAACACCGCGTCGCACAGTGGGGTATTTGCTCAATCTAGCTGGCCAAAATTATTTCTTTTATTTAATTGGTTCAAAACGTAATTAGTTACTTCTTTATGGTAAGATTTAAAGAATTTAAGAGTGAAAAATCATTATTATGCGTTTTTTAACGATTTAAATGTTTTTATTGAAATAGTAATATGTAAAATTAAAAATGAATAAAAATATATATGTGAAGTATGTAAAATATATAACTAAATATAACTAAGAAAACATACAACTAATATAACTAAAAATACATATTACCTATATAACTAAAAATATATATAACATTAATCAGATTTTAATGGTCATAGTTCTTCGTCTGAAGACATTTCATATTCCTCCGAAGAAACATGTTCTTCAGGGTCAGTATCGTCTGTAGGTTCATCAGGTGGTAGAAGCATTTGCATAGTTTCTTTTGAAAATTGTTTTGCTTTTTTCTTAATTTTGGGTCTCATACCAGTTAAAAGTGGATCAGAATTAATCAATAATCTATTGAAGACGTCCATATTGCATGCCTCCCTTGAAAATTTTCTTGCATAATTTTGACGATACAAACGAAAATGTTTATTTCTTGCTTCAGCTGCCTCTTCCGATAATTGTCCAATGGGCAGCAGGGCATTTTTTATTATAATTGGACCATGAATTAAAATTTTGTGTACGGTAGGTGTCATCGGATACCATGGGTATAATTTGACGTATAGTTTTGCCGTGTCAGTAGTATATATAGCGAATTCTTGAACATTTACTTCGTAGCCACTAGATATTACTTCTAAGATAACTTTAAAACGAGTTAGAAGTTCTTGATTCAAGCTCGTTATTTCCTTCGTTAGCTCAGGGTTCATAAAAAATCTTCGACTAGTATTGCCGTCATTCGTGTTGCCGAAACCTGGTTTCGGTACATCAACAATTAAACCCAACTTCTTCCTAAATTCTTCTTGAATTAATAACTTTCTATCGTGTACGATGCTTTTCTCACTTTCCGATCGTACTTGCCATTTTTTTATGGGTAACTTATATGATAAATGTAATAAGTTTTCGAATAATCTTATTCGCGCGTGCAAGATTGATAATCCAAATTTTAATGTATCTTCATTAATTTCTTGTTGCTCCGCTAAATTATTAAATTCTTTAGAAGATGCACCGCAAATGTAACACCTCATTGTCGAAACGTTGTGTGTGACTGCGTTACATATCTTGGCATCAATCATCGTTAATAGCATTGTATGCCTAACAGATAAATTTCGATCTACCACTGTTACCTTTGACTCTTGCAGAGCATCTATTTGCGTTTGTATATAACGAATTTCTTCGTTAATTATGTCAACAGATTCTTTAATGAATCTAATCCTTATAGGCCGACAATAACGTGGTGAAGAGGGTATTGGATTCTGCCAAATAATTCTTCTATTATTTATGCCACAAGTTAATCGTAGTGGCACAAACGAACTTTGAAATATGTTTGCGTCCGAATCTGCGTCGTTGTTAAATTTTTGTTTATATTGGGACTGTTGCGATCCGTCACAACCCCACTTAGAAATTAAATTTATAGTATTGGCATCTTCTTGGTTTAAAGTTCCTATAACATCTTGTAAATATATTAATAATCTGTTAGTGGTGTGATTCATTAATTCCTGTACACTTATTTCCGCAGAGGTAGCAGTCACTGTAAATGAATTTTTGTTTGGATAGCAATCCATTTTTACTGTTTTTAATATTGAATAACAAGGATAGAATTTTTTTTTCGTTTGCCTGATAATTTCGTATTGTCTTCTAGAAAGATCGGCTTCTACATACATTGCCAATGCCTGCAATGGTAACAATTGCGAATTTTGTTGTGCACTTTTAGAATATGCTTTCTTATACTTATTTGCACGCCTTGGAGAAGTGGTTATCTCTTTTAGCATTTGGGAAGCATCTCTCATTCCACTAGTTTGTAATTCCATGCGAGCAGCAAAAATTAATTGATCCTTTTCCACTATGTTGCGTAATTCTTCTGTCTTCCTTCTTTTGCTTCGCTCGCTTGACTCTTCGAAAGTTTTTAGTGGCCGTCCCGATCGCGTTTTTATTTTACTCACTTCAAATATTCCTTCAAGACATTCTTGATTCTTTCGAAGAAAAATTTCTTCTTTTTTATGTGCCGCTGCCCATCTATGTTTCATTTCCGATTTCACGTACGAAAATTTGTGTTTAATTTCCTTTCTTTCATTTTCTGAATATTCTTCGCGGCTCAGAATATAATTTTCAATGAATTTTAATTTTTCATTGATATTGCAGTCCTTTTGTTTTTGCATTATATTAAAAATATCTCTCCGAGTCATTACTCTAACTCCAGATGAACCTAAACACAAAATTATATTTTTTAAAGTAAAAGTAATCCATAGTGAAAAAATAACACGTATGACTGTTTATTATATTTCTAATGATTATAAGAAGATTCACGCGATGCCGCGGAAATTTTTTTTTCGAATATAATGTTAAAGCCTTTCCCTTGAATGTTAAAAAAAAATGAAAGTCGGGACGCACCCTGAAGTATGACAATACTCTTCGAGTTATGATAATAGTGTCTCTAAAATTGAGTAAAAAATTCCTTTTTTCAACGCTCTTTAACTATATGAAAATAAACGAAATTTTAATTAAAATGCTTGACATTTATGCACACTTACCTGCTTCACAAGAATCCATAATTTATTGCTTATAAATATCTTTTAAACAAAAAAATGATAACTTTGAAACTCTGATGCCGTAGAAAGTAACAATGAAACACACGTTCGCTGTTCAACACGCTCAAGTTCAAACTGATCAAATGCTACGACTGCTAGCGTGAAGGCGACAAAATTGCAGTTTATGACATCCCAGGTACTTACCTTTTTCAGGTAAAAAGTTATTTTTGCCTACAATGAGTTTGACTAAACTGACTTTTGGCCAGCTAGATCGGGCAAATACCCCACTGTGCGTCGGTCAGTCTGTCGAGCTTCGCCTCCATCGGATCGCGGTTTGACCGATCCCTCACATTGACCGATGCGGCGACGTGGCTGCTTTGCGAAGTAGACTCGCATATTCTATCCGCCATTTCCGCGAGGTCTTGCAATTTCGGCACTTTTGCCGCTACTAATATTGTTTTCACCATTTCTGGCATCTGCTCTAAGAAAATCGAGCGCATCACCTCGTCGTCGCATCGACCGTCGTCCAGGGCACGCAACCGGTATAGTATTTGCGACGGTTTCCCTTCTGTAGTAACCTGCCCTTTTAATAATTGCCGGAGCCGGCTTTCCGCCGATGCCGCGTACGCCGACATAATACGCGTTTTCACGAGATCGTATATATCGTCCGATCGTGGCCCCGTTAATAAGTCCCTGATGGAGGATACGACCTCCGGATCTAACGCCGCGACGAGGTAATCTACCCGCGTTCTCGCATCTGTTATCCGCGCGGTATTGAACGTAGCCTCGACTTGCAAAAACCACAGCATCGGATCGTCGCGAAAAAATTTCGGAATCTTGGGGACGCGGTAAGAATCGACGCTTCCAAGATGGCCGTCGCTTGTGGCGTTGTTCACCGCCATCTTGCTGCCCTTAGCTCACCTTGCTCCGCTTCTCCTGACGCTCCACGCAGCCCTCTGCTTCCTTTTGCCGCTTGGCCGGAACTCGTTCCCCGTGTCCTGGTCCACGTTCCTCTGCGCTGCACGCCGAGGTGTCCCCACGATGTGGAACGCTGATCCAGCGACACGTGCGTCCAATGGCGTCGGTTGCACCCCCCTGCTCTGGATCCTCTGGATCCTCGATCTGACTCGTTCAGTTCTTTGACAATTCGACGGTGAAGACTCGTCGGGGTCACCAGTTGTGGGTTTATGCTTACTTGACGCACGTGGTTCGTTTCCACGTATTATGCGCGTGCGTTCGTAGGCCCACCCCTACGACCACGGATATTAATATTCGAAATAACTGAACACGTGTATGTAACAACAACAACAATAACGAGTAGGGGAGACCGGGGCTGGTTGACTAACTTTTAACATATTTAATTATTATAAATGAACCATTGTTATTTTATTCACTTATTGTATACCAATAGTTTACACATTTACTAAGGTATACAGTGTAATTTTTAAAGCCGCTTTGATTAAATCTAAGTTGTAGTTTTTATCACATTTATGCAGGTGTGAGCAATAAGTCAACAAACCCCGGCTTTGGGGTTAGTTGACTTATACGACGGGGTTAGTTGACTTGACATTTACTTTTAAGTTTTAAACAAAAACTAATAAACAAACAACATTTATTTTTTATACATATTAATTATAACGCTGAATTTTATTTATAAATCGTCATTTGAATTGCAATTTATACAAACGTAAAATATTTTATTTAAACCGATACACTTCTCGTGAGCCCATTTGCTGCAACGTGTGCATTGCACCCACTTATCACCACGAACGCTCTTACTCTACAGTTCGTCGCATATTAAACATTCAGTATCATCTTCTGATACTGAAATCGGATCTCTGTTGGATGATGTGGATGCTGTGGTACTTAATTTCCGAAAAAGAGATTTTCGTGCGCTTTTTGTCCTGTCTCTTACAATTATATTTCTTTCTCGCGGGCATTTCTTTTCTTTAATTTTTTCTTTTTCTTGTTTCAGTGCTTCTTTTACCGGTGTATCCGTCAAAATGGCACTGCGTCTCTTTCTTCTCGGTTTTCTAGTATTCTGTCGTGCAGCTGCTTTCGGAAATGGTCTTACTTCTTCTGGACTGAATGTTTTATTTCCTTCTTCGTTTTTATTGATTTTATTTTCATCTTCTTTCGCGTCAGGTGGACATTCATTTACATTTGCGTTTACTGTAGGTAGCTCTTCAGTGTCAATTATCAATTCAGTATTTTCATTGATGGGAGCAGGTCTGTCTGTTACATATGAAGTTAAAAAATCACTATCAGAAAAAATGTTATCATTAAAAGGGCAAATTTCGGTTTTTTGAAAGCCAGCCATTATATTCACTGGTGTAGCAGCTGCAGCTAATGGTAAAACTGTTTTTATAATTCCAGGTATGTCATATATAGAAAATGTTTTACCAGGATTATTTACCATCCAATTATCAATAGCAGAATTGGTATATTTTTTTAGTGGTCCATAAACACTTCTATCTAATGGTTGCAATTTGTGCGAACAATGCGGTGGAAACGTTAAAACCGTGATGCCATTTTCTTTACAAATATCTAAAGCGGTTATCGAAAGGTGAGAATCGTGATTATCGAGCAACAAAAGGATGGGCCTTTCCTTCGTGCATTTCGTGTGATGAACAAAATGCTTAATAAATTTTACAAAGTATTCTTCCTTCATCCATCCAGATGGATTGGCATCACCCAAGCTTCCGGTAGGCGCGTCGCTAATAAAATGATTCCGGTAATTCACTCGTGGAAAAATAAAAAAAGGAGGAATTGTGTTTCCACTTGCGGATACAGCAACAGTGAGGGTTACAAGTGTTCCTCTTTCGGCTGACACTAATTTACCAATCTGTTTAAAGCCACGTCGAGCTATAATTTTATCTGGCTTTTGCACTGTGGTTATACCCGTCTCATCAACATTCCATATATCCTTACCTTCAAGACTAAGTCGATTATACACTATGTTTAAATTTGAAAAAAACATTTCTACGTTTGTTTTATTAAATGAGGTGGCTCTTGATAAGCTTGTTGCTTGTGGGCATCTTAAAGATAAGCTATTGTTTCGTTTAATAAAAGAAGCATACCAATCTGGCCCTGCCATTTTATTCTTGGCCCAATTATTTGGAATTTGAAGTTTATTCGAAACTGCATATTCATAAGCAAATTTTCTAAATTGCTTCGGCGTCAATCCGTAATAAATATCCGATGATTGTTTTAAATAGTCAGATAAAAGATTCTCTGCTTCTTGAGAAAAAACTTGTCTCCCATTAAAATAACCAACACGGTTTAATGCAATTTCAACGGTTGTTAATTTCGCCTTTTTAACATAGCGTTCAAGCGTTTTTTGTGAAATTAAAAAATCTTTAGCGACGCTATTAATGCTTCTAAATTCATTTATAACGATTTTGACTGCCCGCAAAATAATATCTGTCGGTGTTTTTCCCTTATCAGTTTTTCGTTTGTAATTCCTCATGTTGATGCCTGAAAGAAATTGATAATTATAATGGGCAAAGCAAAATACAAATAAAACAAAAACAATATCCGGGGTTAGTTGACTAAGTCAAATAACCCCGAACATGATTAGTCAAATAGTCCCATTCGACATCTTTAACATTTTGGTTGCTTTATATCGATAACCTTTACGCATTGAATAATGTAAAAACTGCAAATTATAGCCAACACATCACACTTCTGTTAAATATTTATAAAAAAAATATTAAGCTGTACTTACTAGATAAAAATTTATAAATTGTCAGAAGGAAAATATTTACTTACCGCTATCGTTTTTTAATATTTCGCTCTCACTGATGTAAAATGCAAAATATTGTCACGGTAACAAACTACATGATGGTTTAGACATTCATATGTTTCAAAACATCGATTGCAGCCGCATGCATTTTATAATATAAAAATTAAAGGCAATTAGTCAACTAACCCCATTAGTCAACTAGCCCCGGTCTCCCCTATTACTTTATTAACGCTAGGCGTACAAGTCTTTGTCTAGCAACAGGAGTTTTAATCTTTATCTTTTTGAGGTGCTTCTTCGCGAAGTTCTTACCAAGCAGTGACTTGAGCGTTCTTGCATTTTTGGGAGGACGCGCTTTCGCCCTGCTGCGCTGCGCGCGCAGCCTTACGGCGGATTCGCACTTGACGGGAAACTGCGCCCCTATACTCTTGTGCGGACGAGACCATAAGTCTCGACCCCACACTCTTGTGGCGGCTAACGTCACAGGAGTAACAAGCGCCATCTAGTTAAGTTCCTACTTTAGTTAGTTTTAGTTAGTTTAAGTAAAAGTCACTAGTTTGTAGTATTTAGATTTAAGTTGGCGCACCCCCCTTGGTACATGGCCCAAGGGATGAAAAGGGCCCAGTTCTGTTCGACGCCCTCGAGAAGACAGAAGCATATAAAAACCGAAGCGTGTATTCGAAATAAAAGTCTTTGTGAACGCAATCGTATTAAGTGTATATATTGAAGACTCTCCCAATGCCTCAACTAGCGACGGCCTTTCTAGTTTCCCTGTTGTTTATCCGGCCCTGTCCAGGCGCATGGTTTCTTGCACCTCGTGGATTCTGCACCGAATCTACCGTGATAATAACAGAAACCGTTGGGATTATTTCTGCCTCGCGAATTGCTCCTGTTCCGCTGGAAACGCCCTCGGCTGTTGTTACGCCAGCGTCCTCTCAGTTGGGCCTCGAGTCGGGATAGCCGCCTGGCCATGGCGGCCACTTCGCCATCTTGAACTCTGGGCCTGGCGTCTCTCGTTTCGGGTGGGGTGTAAGCGTCGTCAGAAATGGCGGCCACCCCCGCCATTGCTGAGCGTTCCGACACTTTGTCGGCCAATTTCGCCTGACGATCTAATGGCGCATCGTCGACTACTGCCAGAATGTCCTGTACCCTTGCTGGAAGACGCTGGATCCACAATGTACGCAGTGCGTCTTCGCCAACACTTTTCCCCGCAAGCTGCGTCATTTCACGCAACAATTCCGACGGCTTTTTGTTGCCGAGCTCCATGCCGGTCAGCAACCTCCTTAAATTTGCCTCGTCCGATTTTGCCAGACGATCGATTAAAGGCGGGGCCTCGATAACGTCCAAAACTATCTTCATCGTTGCCACGTCGAGATTTCTAATTATGGCAGAGCTTTTTACGGCATCGGCTCTTACACTATATGCCGCGAATTCTTTCTCCAACATGGTGAACCACAATCGTGGTTCCTCCTTCCAAAAAGGTGGAAGTTTCACGTTTCTAAACTCGTGAGCTTGGATTTCCGGACGCACGCTGGTCGTCATGGCGTCATTATCTGCGTCGTTGGGCATCTTCTTATTTCCCTTTTTTTTTACACCCACGAAACAAAATTAAATTTCAAAGCAAAACCGAGGTTTCGGCACCAATGTGGTGGATAGGTATCTGCTGGGAGAGTCTTCAATATATACACTTAATACGATTGCGTTCACAAAGACTTTTATTTCGAATACACGCTTCGGTTTTTATATGCTTCTGTCTTCTCGAGGGCGTCGAACAGAACTGGGCCCTTTTCATCCCTTGGGCCATGTACCAAGGGGGGTGCGCCAACTTAAATCTAAATACTACAAACTAGTGACTTTTACTTAAACTAACTAAAACTAACTAGAGTAGGAACTTAACTAGATGGCGCTTGTTACTCCTGTGACGTTAGCCGCCACACTCTGTAGGATTTAGGGTGCCACGCACTGACGCGGTACCAGTTGGCAGCCTACTCTGCTTTGCGTTCTTAGGAAGGAGATGGGCAACTCAATAACTGGTACACGTGGGTGTAACCGTAACACTATGTATTTAGTCTACAACAATGATGACCGATCAAGCGCACAAGACGAACGCGTCCTGCTCGATCGGTGGCGAGTCGACGAGAGAGTTTTGTTCTCTCCCCGTTTTCCATCGCCCGAGGTCGGAGGTGCCAACCTCGTCGGAGCGATCACTAGACGCGGGTCTAGGGGAATTTGCGCTTGTGGCGCCAATATCCCTACAACTCTAATGACGCTAGTGCCATCTGTGGCAAACTCCATCAAATAGAAACACATAAAGTTATAACTTTTATATCGAGTGTATTAATTATTGAACTTTGTTTACAAATTTTTGTAAAGCATGATAATAACAATAATTAGCTTTATAGCACTGGAATGATGATCATGTATAAAAAATGTTGGCGGATGGCACCCATGATTTTTTATTCATCTGAAATTGAAAAATCAAATAGCATTTTAATATGTAGATCTATGGCTATCGTGTGAACTAGAATTAAATAAAAATATTCAAATTTGAATATTTGACAAAGTTTTTAAAAAAAAAGTCAATTATTCGTATTTTTTTTTCAACCTTGAAAGCTAAAGAACAAGAAATTAGTAAAATATTTCAATTATCCTAGTTCACACGGAAACTAGAGGTGTATGAAAGATGTGTACAAAATTATAGCGAAATCGGTTGAAGACTTTTTGAGATATCGTGGGCGCCGCTTCAAAAAAATGCGGTTCGAGAAAAACGCGTTCGAAGTTCAAGTACGTATGACACAAAGATAATTTTACTTACCATTAATCTGCAATGCCTGGACCATACAGTACACCTTCAGTTTCTTCCTGGAAGTCATGCAGAAGTGAATTTTCTTCTCGGTTTTGAATCCGAGATTTTTTGACGAAGTCAGACGATTTTCGTTCGGAGCGGTACAGGCGAGCGTTGTCACGGTGCGTAGAATATGTGCAAGAATTGGTGCCAATTTTCAATCCCATTGTTTCCATAATTTTTAATACTCCTTCAAATCCATCGTTAAAAATGATAACTGCCAAAAAAGTAGCTATTTCAACCACCTTAGGCCCAGAATGAATGTGTTTTGGGGCGAATGTCCAAATTAGGGAATTCAATGATTCGTTATTATTTTGGGTCTCAACTCCCAAGCATCTGATTAATAAATCATCTTTTGATAAATCTTCGTAAATCGGTTTAATTGTTTCTAAAACTTGACTTTTTAAAGGAACTCCTAGAGTGGTTAAAATTCTTGAGGAGTCCCAAAGCTTCTGCTTTATGCCACTTGCACCAGCTGATTTCACCCTTCGGACAATAATCGTGCTGCGGATTATCATCAGAAGAACTGCAGTGATAAAAAGAAGCCCAAATCTCTCTTTTCATATCATCTATTGAATCAGGATGCCGTCGTATGGCTAAGCCATAGAATTTCGTCAATTCACCAATGACTTTTTCAGTTAGTTTACCGTGTCCCTTTCCACCGATTCCCTTGTGTTTTTTTTTAATGTTGCGAAGTCTCGTGCCCATCCCTCTTTTCCACATGACCTACGCACTCCTTTTTCACAACTTGTTTTTCATCTGTATACGGATTAGCATTCAAAATACCTTTGAATGTTTTGCTATCTCCGTCTCCAATGTATGTTAGGCACTTTACGCCATGTTTCTCCATAGAACGTGAAAACATTTCAATAATAGCGTCAATTTCCATTTTACCAGAGCTGCCAATATGATTTATGGAACAATCCTTGTGGTTCGATAACTGTTCGCACGCTCCACGGGAACGGGATGGCCGAGTCGTTTAGGCGTGAATGAGTTCGCAGCAAATTGTTTTCGGCCTTGCGGCTAATCAACTATTATTCACAAAACATACATAAATTCACGTTACACTTGAACGACACATACAGGCAGTAGCCTGAGACAACCAGAGTCACTGTAGCCTCGGTAGGCGTGGGCGAGGGCCCGAGAAACTCCCGAATACGGAGGGCCGGATATCGGCAGGCGCGGTTCGGATTCCAAAAGTGGCGCGTGATGGACGCGTTAAACAGCCATAATTTTCTCGTAGGCTTTTTTTTTTTTTTTTTTTTTTGTGCAGTACCTGGGGCTGGGGGCCCTATAACCTGCATTTAGAATAATTGTTAGTGCCTGGTATATATTTATGTTAGTGTGGGGTTGTGGTATTTCATGCGTTCAGGCTCGAGGGAAAACTTTCAAAAACCTCGTTTTCATGCGTCATGCGGTTAGTTTGATAGTGGGGGTTGCTAGTTTAGGATGAGTCTGGGTGTTTTTATCCGCGTTTTTAGTGGGACGGTGATGGGGTCATAGTTCCCTAGAGTGGCTATTAGGGGATTCGGGTGATGTAGGTTGGAGATTTGAGCTGCAGCGGCCAGCTTCATGACATGCTCGCGAATATATTCTATTTGTGCTTCCTCATGCAATGAAGCAGTTGTGTGGCGATTCTCTGGTGAAAGAGGTTTGTTTAGAATGATGCGGAGATACTTATTCTGTATTATCTGAATCCTGGACAGGTGTGTGTTGGCTGTGGTGCACCAGATTTCTGCTCCGTATGTTAGGATTGGGCGTACGCAGGTGTTGTATACAGGGTGTCCCAGCTAAAGTGTGACAGTCGCGATACTGCAATAACTATTGATGATACGGAAAAATTGTTTATATGAAAATTGCAGGATAAAATAGGATCTTTATTCTGGCGTAAACGGAAATTTTATTTATGTTATTAATTTCAAAGATACGATGATGAAGTTTCGTTTTTTAAATGGAGCTATATATTTTTTTTTGGATCATGCGATAGTGTTTTTCAAGACGAATTCATTAACCTGCAATTTATTTACCCGATATTCATTAGTTTTCAAGCTATAGCGCTTGGAAATTTACTGATTTTCGGCGAAGACGTCTCGGCTTGAGTGGCAAGTCATAAAAGCGGCCCTATTGTTGCGCTGTTTGACTCCGCCTGTTGAAACCGATAGCAAGGGGTCTACGCTCGGAACGGCAGGCCCGAAGAGTCAGAAACATGAAAAGTATTGCCCATCACGATTTAAGTTTGTCGCATCGAGGATGGTGATGTCGCTAATAATTTGGATGATTGGAACATTCATTTAAATGTTTTAGCTGAAGGTAGGTATAAAGACATAACTTAATTTTAATTTATGAAAATATTTTATTATACAAGAAATTCATTCCACATGTCTCCCGCTGTTTGAAATACAGTCGCGTCGGTATTTAAGTTGACACTTATCATTTTTATAAAATAGCCGTAAAAGGATACAATAAAAATAAATAAAATACGAAATGTTTACAAAATAAATTTATTCGTGTCTTAAGTAAATAATGTCACCTTATTAATTATGTTCATTTGAGTAACAATAGCATTAACAAATATTTTCTAATGAACGTCTATCGGAAAGTAAATTGACAATGGTTATAAAGTAAATTATAATTCTATAAGTAACAGTAAAAAAAATATTTAATAAGCAGTTTGATACCCTTTGGCTTTAATTACTTCCAGTAAACGATTTGGCATACTGTGTATTAATTTTTTTAACGTTTTGGGCTGTATTTCATCCCATGCCGTTTTTAGTGCGGCTATCAATTTTGGTTTTGTATAGCGGTCCGATTTTGGTATTTTTCGATCGAGTTCGTCCCATAAGTGCTCAATCGGATTTAAATCAGGGCTCTGCAGTGGCCAAGAAAGCAGCAATATATTGTTTTCGTCGATAAATTTTTTAACGATCTTTGCAGTATGTTTCGGATCGTTGTCGTGTTGGAATATGTATCCTGTATCTGGCCCAAATTTTTGAATTGATGGAAACAAATTTTCTTTTAGAATATCGATGTATTTCGCTGCTGTTAATATACCATCAATAACTGTTAATTTTCCTACATTTTCATTGTTGAAGCAGCCCCATAACATTATAAGCCCCATAACATTATAGACCCTCCACCGTGAAACACGGTGGAGGTGATAACATTTTGTTTAAAAGCTTCTCCTTTTTTTCTCCACACATATTTCCTTCGTTTGTTTGATTATAATTCAAATTTTGACTCATCACTCCAAATTATGGATTCCCAGAATGCAGTCGGTTTATTAAAATGCTCTTTTGCAAAATTTAAACGTTTGCGAGCATTTGTTTCGGAAATGTGTGGCTTCTTCCTAGATATTCGACCATGCAACCCAGCTTCGTATAAACGGGATTTTATTTGAGTGGTCCCTATTGGCAAATTTAAATCTTCTTTGATCTGTTTGGCAGTAATAAATGGTTCCTTTTTTGTTATTTTAACAATTTCTCGATCCTGACGGGAAGTTGTTTTCCTTTTTCTTCCCGTTCTAACTAAATTTTCAGGTTTCCCAGTAGTCTCTATCTTTTTATACATTTTTCGCACCCCCTTCCTTTGATATCCCAAAATCTGTGGCAATCTGTTGCAAACTTTGGCCTTCTCTCCTTCTTTTATAAATTAATAATCTTTCAGACTCGTGTAATTCCCGTATTTTCGGCATGCTACAAGTAACCAATTCTTAACAATAACAATA